GAAACGTCAACTTTCCTGCTCCTCTGCTGCTGCCTGGCCTGCTGTGTTCCTCCAGCTCCACACTGTGTTATCAAAGAATAATTTCTGTTTTCATTGAACCATGTATTCAGAGACTGTACTAATCTTACTAAACTTGGTTGCCTAGGCTGTTAAGAATGAAGTGAATGTGCCATGTCTGAAGAACTTTGTAGAGATGCTCTATCAGACCACCTTTGACCTTTCATCAAGAAAGAAACATTCTTTGGTAAGTGTAAAATAATTAGGCTTGTGATGAATGTGATCTTCCATTTCTGCATTGCTCCATTGCCATAACTTTCTTATTTCAAAGTATATCTTGTAATTTTGTATTATAAACAAAATGTAGCAGCTCAAATAGAGGTGCCTCAGCACAGGCTAAATCCTGATCTCTCACTCAGTGGAACTAACCGATGGCTAAATTTGACAAACATTCAATAAAATTACTTTGCCCTTAGTTTATTTAATTTTAAAATGCAAACTATTTGCTCTGATTTAAAGATTTAAAAGGGACCTAAGGGCAACGTTTTCACACACAGGGTGGTATGTGTATGGAATGAGCCACCAGAGGAAGTGATGGAAGCTAGTACAATTTCAACGTTTAAAAGGCATCTAGATACTTGCGTGCATAGGAACGGTTTAGTGGGATATGAGCCAAGTGCTGGCAAATGGGACTAGATTAATTTAGGTTATCTGGTCAGCGTGGACGAGTTGGACTGAAGGGTCTGTTTCTATGCTGTACATCTCTATGACTCTAAGACTGTAAGAGGTAGAAGTGGGAGAGTAACCAATTGAAATTACAATTGTGAAGGCAGAGGTACTCATCCAACACTGAGGTTGCGGCTAACAAGCCTGCAGGTCCAGATGAACTTCATATAAGGTCTTAAAAGGAGTAACCAGTGCAATTGTTAATGTGTTGGTTTTAATTTTCCAAAACTCATTACATACGGGGGCAGGTTCCTTTACATTGGAAAATAATGTCACTCATTTATTCAGAAGAGAGGGAGGCAGAAAGCAGAAAATGACAGTACAGTTACCTTAACATCTGTTATAAGGAAAATGTTAGATTCTATTATAAGAGATATTATTACAGGGCATTTGGATAAGTTCAAGGCAACACGGCAGAGCCAACATGGTTTTGTCAAAGGGAAATCATATTTAACTAATTTATTAGAGTTCTTTTGAAGAAGTAAGTGTGCTGTAGATAAAGGGAAACCATGGATGTGTTGTATTTAAATTTCCAGAAGGCATTTGATAAGGAGCCACCTTCAAGATTATTGTGGAAAATGAAAGCTCATGATTGTAGAGGGTGACATATTGGTATGCGTAGAAGATTGGCTGACTAACAGGAAGCAGAGATTTGGAATAAGTGGGTTCTTTTCAGGCTGGCAAGATGTAATGTGTGGTGTGCCACAGGGGACAGGACCTCAATTCTTTGCAATTTATATGAATATTCATATGAATGATTTGGATGTAGGTATTTAAGGTATGGTAGCTAAATTTGCTGATGACACAAAAATAAGTAGGAAAGTGAGTTGTGAGGGGGACATGAGCCCTATGAGGGCTTTTGATAGGTTAAGTGAGTGGGCAAAGATCTGGCAAATGGAGTACAATTGAAACAGTGTCAAATTGTCCATTTTGGCAGCAAGAATTTTTTTAAAAAAGGCACTATCTAAAAGCTGAAAGCTGCACAGCTCTGAGGTGGAGATAGAGAGAGAGAGATTCGGGTGTCATAGTGCATGAATTGCAGAAGGTTAGTATGCACGTACTGTAAGGAATCAGGAAAACTAATAGAATGTTAAGGTTTATTGTGAGGGGAATTGAATGCAAGAATAGGGAAGTTATGCTTTAGTTATATAGGGCATTGGTGAGACCACATCTGGATTTCTCTGTTTATGCATTGAAAGCAGTTAAGAGAAGGTTTACTAGACCAATATTGGAAGAATAGATTGTTTTATGAGGAAAGGCTAGAAGTGAAGAAAGTTGTTTTTTTTTTCCCCTGAGGGTTGTGTGACTTTGGAACTCCATGCCTCAATGCAGTGGAATTGGGCTCTTTTAATACTTTTAAGACCGAGGCAGACTGATTCATTAGGCAAGACAATCGAAGGTTATTGTGGGTAGATGTGAATGTGCAATTCTGAACATAAGCAGATCAGCCGAGAGGCTGCGACAAACTTAGAAATTGCTGGAAAAGCTCAGCAGGTCTGACAGCATCTGTGGAGAGAAATCAGAGGTAATGTTTTGGATTAAGTGATCCTTCCTCAGAACTCTCTGAGAAGCTGAGTTGCCTACTCCTGCTCCTTGTTTTTATGACATTAAAAAATGGCAGAGCAGGTTCATGGGGTCAGTTGGGTCTACTGAAAAGGACCTGAGGGGTAACGTTATCATGCAGAAAGTGATGCGTGTAAGGAACGAGCTGCCAGAGGAAGCAGTGGAGGTGGGTACAGTTACAACATTCAACAGGCATCTGGATGGGTATGTGAATAAGAAGGGTTTACAGGGATATAGGCCAAGCGCTGGCAAATGGGACGAGGTCAGATTGGGATGTCTGATTGATGCAGATGAGTTGGATCGAAGGTTCTGTTTCTGTGCTATATGACTATGACTTTACTTCTGCTCCTGTTATATATGTTCTTGTTTCACTTTGCAAGTTCCCCACTATTGGCTGCATGGCTAATTTTTGTATAATTTGTAAATTTCTTAATTATGTCTCTTGTTTAAGACTAACGCATTGATACATGACACAAAAGCAAGGAACTTAATACTGACTCTGAGAATTCTTGTTGGAAAATACTTTCCAGTCACAGACAAACCATCGACTTGTTACCATCTCCTTCCTGTCACTAACCTGATATTTTAATCCAACTTGCCATTAACCCTTGAATCCCGTGACCTTTGCTTTTCATGCTAATCTGCCTCGTAGCATCTTGTCCAAAGGCTAGCTGAAATTCTCATGTACTGCAACAAACACACTACCCTCAATCAAGTTAGTTGGGCACCAGATTTCTTTAGCAGGCCATTGTATGTAATGTTGATTGATCCATGTCCTATGTGACAATTTATCCCGCGTCTCAATTTTTTCCAATAATTGTTGTAGAGTCGTAGAGATGTGCAGCATGGAAGCAGACCCTTCGTCCAACTTGTTCATGCTGATCAGATATCCTAAATTAATCCAGTCCCATTTGCCAGCATTTGGCCAATATCCCTGTAAACCCTTCCTATTCATATACCCATCTAGATGCCGTTTAAATGTTGTAATTGTACCAGCCTCCACCACTTCCTCTGGCAGTTCACTCCATACACACACCACCGTCTGTGTGGAAAAAGTTGCCCCTTAGGTCCCTTTTAAATCATTCCCCTCTCACCTTAAACCTATGCCCTCTGGTTTTGGACTCCTCTGCCTCAAGTAAAAGACTTTGGCTATTCACCCTTTCCATGCCCCTCATGGTTTGATAAACCTCTATAAGGTCACCTCTCAGTCTCCGATGCTCCAGGGAAAACAGCCCCAGCTTATTCAGCCTCTCCCTATATCTCAATCTTGTAAATCTTTTCTGAACCCTTTCAAGTTTCACAACTTTCCTGTAGCAGAGAGACCAGAATTGAATGCAATATTCCAAGGGTAGCTGAACTAATGTCCTGTATGGCCACAACATGACCTCCCAACTCCTATACTCAATAGACTGACCAATAAAGGCAAGCACACCAAATGCCACTTTCACTATCCTGCCTACTTGTGACTCCACTTCCAAGGAACTATGAACCTGCACTAACCCAGACTTGGATCATGCTCTGTGGATCAAAGATGCTAAAATTCTTAACACTTCCTCTATCATTATGTTTGTCCCCAATCAATATTTTTCACAATTCCATATCTTGAATGTTGAAGACAGGCTAAGTGGCCATTAAGAAACACTCCATGTTTTTGCCTCCACGCAGTTTCCTGCCTTAATTTCTTAATAAGCACTACTCATTCCTCAGTTATTTTCTTACTCTTGATGTATTTTTACAACATTTTTGGGTTATCCTTGATATTGCTTGCATGTATTTTTCCTACAGTCTCGACATTTCAAATTTCCTTTTAGCACTCCCCAGGCCTTTCGATCTAATATAACTTGCTTTTGCTTTGTCTTATCCTGTTTTGCATGCTCTTGGACATCTAGGGTTCCCAAATTGGGGAGTCCCATTTTCTTTGTAGAAACACGTCTGTTCTGAATTCTCATTGTTTCCTCCTGGAATACCTTCAACCTACATGCCCCAACAGGTGTTTGGAGGTCAGTTGTTCCTGCTCCAAGTAATGGCAGCTCTCGTGTCTTTGATCTAACCATCATGACTGCTTCACTAATGTCCTGCCCTCCAACCTAAGCTGTGTCATGGGGATATTTGCTGATGGTCAGTGTTCAGTAAAATTCACAGTTCCACAAGTACAGATGCTATCCATGTTCACATGCAGGAAAACTTGGACAATTTTCATAGATTCATAGCCTCTTTCAGCACTGTAGGGATTCAATTAGGCCTATTGATTTCCGCACTGACGCTCCAAAGAGCATCCCAGCCAGACTCACCCACCTTCCTTATCCGTGTAACCCCATGTTTCCCGTAATCCACCTAGCCTAAACATCCCTGGACACTACTGACAATTTAGCATGGCAAACCCACCTAACCGGCGCATCTTTGGACTGTGGGAGGGAATCAGAACACCCAGTAGAATCCCACACAGACACAGGGAGAGCACATAAGCTCCCCACAGACAGTCACCCAAAGCTGGAATTGAATCCAGGTCCCTGTAAGACAGCAGCACAAACCACTGAGCCTTGTTCAGGTTTGGGTTGATAAATGGCAAGTACCATGTAAGCGGCACAAGTGAGAAGCAATGATCATCTCCGAGAGGAGCTAAGCATTTCATCCTGACGGGTAGTGACACTATCGTCACTTAACCCCTCACCATCAGCAAACTGAGATTAGTCAGAAACTTAACTGATCTAGCCAAATGAATATTCATTGAAATGAGCAAGTATATTTTGGTTAAATCAACTTTTAAACTCAGGTTTTATCTATTTAAAATTTCGATTAAAGGCATTTGTTTAAACAAATTCTACCTCTTACTAGTGCACCCAATGCAATAAAATAATACAGCACAGAATGAGGTCATTTAACCTTCAGCACCTGTGAGAACTCTTAGCAGAGTAACTCTCCTCTTTGCTTAAAGCCCTGTAAATAATTCCTCTTAATGCACTCCCCCAATTCCTTTTGCCACCCCATCATCCGAATTATAAAGCCAATCTCTTGTTGGAGCAGTAGTTCCTCAACTGGTCACTTGGTGGGAGGGATACCTGATGCCACCCTCTACTGCTAGCAAATTTGAGGTGTGTGGGGGTGGTTGTGCAAGCAGTTTGAAGATGCCTGCTAGATTTATTGAGTCCCCAAACATTCAAACAAGTCAGCTAAATTCAACGCTACAAGGTCCTGTTCTTTCTTCTTTATAGCTATAGGTCAGTAAGGTTGTTTGGGATGCCGGGCACACTCTCTTGCTAGACCTAGCACTGGGGTATAGACACAGAAACAAATTCAAGGTCCTTCTTGGCATGAACAGCTTAATACACTATTAATAGCTCACTACTTTAAACTAAGACATGGACACTGGTCTGAAGCAACGTCCTAGACTCCACTTTGACCACCACCATCCTCAGGCAACTCCAGTAAGTCATGGCCTCTGCATTTATCCAGATTACTTGAATCATTGATTGATAATATATGTGCATTTCTTCTCAGAGTTGCTTTCATTAAACCTTTGCACTTACATACAAAAATACAAAATAGGAGCAGAGGTAGACATTCAGTCCCTCGAACCTGGTCCACCATTCACTAAGATCAGGGCTGATTTACTTGTGTTTCAAAATCCACTATCTATCTCTAATAATCGTTGGTTCGTTTGCCTAATAATAATATGTAGAACATAGAACATAGAACAGTACAGCATAGTACAGGCCCTTCGGCCCACGATGTTGTGCCGAACTTTTACCCTAATCCTAAGGTCTATCTAACCTCCACCCCCTACCTTATACTATCATCCATATGCCTATTTAATAGCCACTTACAGGCCCCTAATGAGGCCGACTCCACTACCCTCTCCGGCAATACATTCCACGCCCCGACCACACTCTTGAGTAAAGAACCTACCTCTGATGTCTCCCCTATATTTACCTCCACTCACTTTAAAACTATGCCCCCTCATAATAGCTACCTTCACCCTAGGAAAAAGTCTCTGGCTGTCTACTCTATCTATACCTCTGATCATTTTATACACATCTATCAAGTCACCTCTCATCCTTCGTCGTTCTGAAGAGAAAAGCCCTAGCTCTCTCAACCTTTCCTTGTAAGACTTTCCCTCCATTCCAGGCAAGATCTTGGTAAATCTCCTCTGCACCTTTTCCAACACTTCCACATCTTTCCTGTAATGAGGTGACCAGAACTGGACACAATACTCCAGATGTGGCCGAACCAGGCTTTTGTATAGCTGGAGCATAACTTCACGGCTGTTGAACTCAATCCCTCTATTAATGAAAGCTGACACACCATACGCCTTCTTAACAACTCTATCCATCTGGGTGGCAGCTTTCAGGGAACTGTGGACTTGAACCCAAGATCCCTCTGCTCCTCCACAATGCCAAGAATCTTTCCATTAACCCTGTATTTTGCTTTCAAATTTGTCCTTCCAAAATGAATCACCTCACACTTTTCAGGGTTAAACTCCATCTGCCACTTCTCAGCCCAGCTCTGCATTCTATCAATGTCCCTTTGTAACCTCGAACAGCCCTCCGCACTGTCCACAACTTGACCCACCTTCGTATCGTCCGCGAACTTACTAACCCATCCTTCCACTCCTATATCCAAATCATTTACAAAAATCACAAATAGAAGAGGACCCAGAATTGATCCTTGTGGTACTCATAACTGAGCACCATGTTGAATATTTTCCGTCCAGCACCACCCTTTGTCTTCCAAGTGTTAGCCAATTCTGAATCCAATCTGCCACATTTCCCCCAATCCCATGCCTCCTTACTTTCTGCATGAGCCTACCATGGGGAGCCTTATCAAACGCCTTACTTAAATCCACGTATACCACATCCATTGCTCAATCTTCATCCACGTGTTTGGTCATCTCTTCAAAGAATTCAGTAAGGTTTGTGAGGCATGATCTACCCCTCGCAAATCCATGCTGACTATCACGAATCAAACTGTGCCTTTCCAAGTGATCATAAATCCTGTCTCTCAGAGCCCTTTCCAATAATCACCACTGACGTAATATATCCACCTGTGCCTAAAAAAAAATGACCTTACCTCCGCCACTTCCTCTGCCAGAAAATTCCACTACAGTCCGCAAGAGAAAAAAAAGCTTTTCGTGTCTGTCCTGAAAAGAGAAATCTTAATTTTAAAACAGAGCCCCCTAGTTCTGTACTGATCCACAAGAGTAAACATCCTTTCTGTGTGCACCTTGTCAAGACCAGTCAGGATCTTAGACACTTCAATCAAGTCCACTCAGGATCTTAGACACTTCAATCAAGTCAACCCCTCCACTCTTCTGAATTCCAGTGGAAATAAGCCCAGCTGTCCAACGATGTCCTCATAAGGGACACTGATAATCATTTTTCCATCTTTGACAAGTGCGGTTTGAGAATGTAGTTAATGAAACTTTTGTTCATCTCGGTTGACGCACATGATAGTTTGTGCTTTACACCTTCATTTCTTTCTGCTTTCCCAACCTTTCCCATCACGGTAGGGCACGTTTATTGATGTTACAGACCTTATAAAAAGTTGTGTTTATGCATTTATAGAAATTCAAATTTTTAATGTTGTAAATGCTTTGTGTGGTAAAATGCCGAGATATTCAGGTCATAAGAGCTCCACGCCTAGGATTGTCGCCTTGGCCACACAGTAGTCAGAGCACCAAACTGGACTAGTTTGGTAATAGTTTGCAGAGACCTCCCTCTTCACTTTGTCCTGTGGTTGCAAAGTGGTGCACTATCACTATATCTTACAAAATAACTACATCTGTTGATTAAAAACACAACTCTGTTATGATGGATGTCGTTTCAAGTGTCCAGTCATACTCAATATATAGTTGATACAAGTAGAATGGATTCTTGGGCAAGATACCAGAAAATTGCCAGCACTCGTGGAAGACATTGAGTGAAGCATTGTCATCAAAAGAGGAGGAAAGTAAAAACCGAGTAGATAGGAAGCACAGACACAGCCAATTCTCTCACCACTCCAAAAAATACAAAACAGCTTGTCTCTAGTTACTGCCCTGTGCGCCCACTCCTTCTTGCCCATGAATACACTCTGTTTCTTACCTGCAGTTGCAAGCTGTTGTACACAGCTACGAACAACTACCCATCTTGCTTGTTGGCCTCCTGACCTTTCAATGGTAGTGTCCAAAGTTTAATGCTTCTGCTGGAGACATCTCACAAAATTGCCAGAGAGGTGCAACTTTATCCAGAGATCTTGAGTTTCCTCGTCAATTTGTGAAAGTTGGCATGACCAACATTGTAATTGACTACCAAAACCACATATTTCTATCCCTTTAGAACACATCTGGTTTTCTGCTCGGATTGTTTGAAATAACTATCAATGGTACTGATTTCTGGTGTCATTTCTAGTTTCTGTTTGCCTTCTCAGGCCCTGTACCCATTGGTTACCTGCCTCCTGTGCGTCAGTCAAAAACAATTCTTTCTCAACAACTGGCACATATTCCTTCAGAATTGTCTGTCTCACTTAAAGGTAAGTAATGCGCAATGGACAAAAGTAATTTGATCAAAAAAAATTATGCAAACTGTTGATTGTTCCACAAGTCATTTATAAAATGAAATTAATTCATAAAAAGGACAGAATGATTTGTGAATTGATGGAACAATGCCAGCATACGTAGTCTGGTCTTTGGGTATATGTGTCTGATCCAAATACTGTAATAAGGAATGTAGAATCTTCCAAACACTTGAATTGCAAGAACCCATTTTCTGTCTTTGTTTTTTGTCCTTATGCTTTGTTTACCCAAACATGGTATTTTCTCAGTCAACCTCTAATTTATTTTTCAAATGAACTGCAAATAACAGGGGGAAAACAAGCTCAGAGGTAATTTACCCAATTTTGACTTTCTGATTATTCGTATTACATCGAGCTGCTCAAAGATAAAAGCGGCGCCAACAGATAAGCAATTAGCCTGAATTTTGGCCTCTGTCAGTAATGTTTAGTTCTTCCTTGATGTATCAGATCTGGATTTGAGTATTAGGCATCTTAAATAATAATTACCTCTGCTGTTTGAATGGTGAGAGATGGCTTTTACTTTGAATTCCAGATATTTGTTTCCAAGGAGCATTTCTTTCTGCATGCTTATCATTTCATTTATTCGTATTGTTCCACATGGCTGTATGTGTGTATGCTGTCTTGTTTTGTCTTGCTGAACTCACTATTAACTCAGTTTTATGTTGATTTATGCCTGTATGTAGCATCACAAAATCCCCTTGGGAGGGACAAAATGCTTATGATATTAATGGCATGTTTTGTTGTTTAAGTCATTTTCCAAAAATATTATTTTTGACCATTCAATTTAACTCCAAGTTAAGTGCGTTGCAATGTCTTCTGTTACATTTAACAAAAGCTCTTCAGACTGCTGTTTGTTGTACATGCCTCTGTTCATCAAATGCTTTTAAGGATTTAAGTTTGTGCTTTGTTCCCCATCTAACATGCATGGATATCCCATTTTCATGCTTGTTTATGTTTTGCTGTCTTGCATTGCTTTATTCAGATGCCATCTAACAACAGTATCAGAAAGCAAATAGAAACTTTGCAGGTATGTGTACCAAGTTCTTAAGCATATGTATATAAATCTAGAAAATTTAGTGACAAACAAATAATGTAAAAGAAATCTTTATATAGGTGGTGTTTTCAGTGCTCACCTGAAGAGTGTTGTCATTAAATTGTAGTCATTGCATTACACTTGTTAATTCTTTAGTGAGTATGACCTTATATTTAATGCTGTGCAGTAACCTGTTCATTTCAACAATCACTGGCAAAAGGTAGTGATATTGAATAAAACTGTGTCACTTGTTCAGTGTTGTCACAAAGATCGTTGATAAACTGGAGTGAGTAGAAAGTACTAATTTCATCAACCAGTGTACATAAGAACAGGAATAGGCCTTTCTGCCCCTCGAACATATTCCACCATCCAGTGAGATCATGGCTGATCTGTGGCCTAACTCCAAAAACCTGCCTTTGGCCTATATCTCTTAATAGCTTTACTTAACACAAATTTATCTATCTCAGATTTAAAATTAACAACCAAGTTACCATTTTGTGAAAGAGAGTTCCAACATTTACCACTCTTGTGTACAGAAGTGCTTCCTAACATCTCTCCAGAATGGTCTGGCCCGAATTCTCAGATTGTGCTCCCACCATTGGAAACCATTTATCTACCCTGTCTTTTCCTTTTAATATTACCCTTTAACCTTCTAATTCTAGAGAAAATGGGTCTATTTTGTATAATCTGTTGTCAGTCCATTCCCCTGAAGTCCAGTTATCATTCTTGTGAACCTACATTGTCCTCCCTCCAAAGCAAAATGTCCTTCCTAAGTTGTAATGCCCAGATCTGCACACAGCTCTCCATGTGGGATCTAGCCAGGGTTAGAGTCGTAGAAGTGTACAGCACGGAAACAGACCCTTCAGACCAACTCATCCATGCCAACCAGATATCCTAAATTAATCTAGTCCCATTTGCCCATATCCCTCTAAGCCCATCCAGATGCCTTTTAAATGTTGTAATTGTACCCGCCTCCTCCACCACCTCTGGCAGCTCATTCCATACACACACCACCCTCTACCTTTTAGGTCCCTTTTAAATCTTTCCCCCTCACCTTAACCTATACCCTCTAGCTTTGGACTCCTCTACCCTGGGGAAAAGACCTTGGCTATTCAACTTATCCATGCCCCTCATGATTTTGTAAACCTCTATAAGATCTCCCTTCTGCTTCTGGGGCTCTAGGGAAAATAGCCCCAGCCTATTCAGCCTCTCCCTGTGGCTCAAACCGTCCAACCCTGGCAACATCCTTGTAAATCTTTTCTGAACCCTTTCAAGTTTCACAACATCTTTCCTGTTTAACTGCAACATAACTTAAACTTGTACTCCAGTCCTCTAGATATAAAGGCCAGCATTCCATTAGCTTTCTTGATTATTTTCTGCATCTTCTTGTGACATTTTAAAGATCAATGCACGTGACCCCCAACTCTCTTTGAACAGCTGCTGTATTTAACTCCATACCATCTAGAAAGTATCCATTTCTATCCTTTTTCAGTCCAAAATGGATAACCTCAAACCTGTTTACTTCAAACTCCATCCGCCACCGTTTTGTCCATTCACCTAGCCTATCAATATATCTTTGTAATCTTATGCTGTCATCTACACTGTCTACAATGTCATCTGAATTTGTATTGTCATATTGTCATCACATGAAGGAAATAAACCACTCGAGGTTTGATTCTCTTTAGTAGATGTTTTATAACATTTTAAACCTGGTCTTCTGTCACTTCCTATAAGTATGCTAAGTGGAACTGATTTATGACCATGAGCAATTGAGGATGGCAGTACATGCTGGCCTACCATCAATGCCCACGTTTTGAGAGTAAAGAAAAAAGTAAAAGCTCTATCATCACTAATTTCTTAAGCCATCTAGTTAGGAAGAGCATCCAAGATTTTGATCCAGCAGCAGTGAAGAACCGTGATAATAGTTCACAGTACAGCTACTCCAAGTCTCAGAGGGAAACTCGAAAATGTTGGCGTTTCAGTGCAGCTACAGCTGCCCTCCTTCCAGCTATTAAAGATCACAACAAAGTGCTGTTGAGGAAGATTTTGCATCCTGTGGATGGTAAATACTGCTCTCTTCAGCATCAGTGTTTGAGAGAATGAATGAGAATGAGATGCTGATCAACCAAGTTACTTTGTGTTGAATGGGTCAAGCTTTGAGTGTTTTGAAGCTGCACTCATCCAGGCACATGAGGACTATTCCGTTATCTTCTGGCTTGTGCCTGAAGAGTGTGGACAGACTTTGGGGCTCAGGAGATGAGTCACAAGCTGCAGAATTCACTGGGACCTGAAGCTACAATATTTATGAGGCTGCTAATTATAAAAGGAATAGATTATAAACTGGAAGCATAAGTACATACATTCAATCACTGAGCATTTTAAAAAATAGTGGTAGACCATTTGATCCATCAAGCCCATTCCACCATTCACTAAAACTATGGCTGAATCTGATTGTGGCCTTAACTTCACTTACCTGCTTGACCCCCAAATCTTTGACTCCCCTGTAGATCAAAATCGATTGGACTCATCCTTGAATGCATCCGATACCTAGTCTCTACTGCTCTCTGCAGTACAGAATTCTATGCATTCATGACCATCTGAGAGAAAAACATCCCTTGTCATTTCAGTCTTCAATGGGAGATCAAATATTTTGAAACTATGCCCCCTGGGTGACACAGTGGCTCAGTGGTTAGCGCTGCCGCCTTGCAGTGCTAAGGACCTGAGTTCAGTTCCACCTTCGGGTGACTTTCTGTGTGGAGTTTGCACGTTCTCACTGTGTCTGCATGCGTTTCATCTCGGTGCTCCTGTTTCCTTCCATAGTCCAAAGATGTGCAGGTTAGATGGATTGGCCATGCTGAATTATCCATAGTGTCCAGGGAAATGCAGGCTAGGTGGATTAGCCACAGCAAATACAGGGTCACAGGGATGTAGGGTAGGATGTGGGTCTGGGTGGGATAGTCTTCAGAGGGTCAGGGTGGACTCAATGGGCTGAATGGACTTCTCTGTAATAGTACAATTCTTCACAGCATCTACTCCATCAAGCCCCCTCAGAATCTCTTATGTTTCAGTAAGATCAGCTCACAGTCTTTTAAACTCCTATGATTTCATCCCCAAACTGCTCAGTCTTTCCTCAGAAGATAAGCCGTCAACCTAAAATTCCATTAAACTATGAGACATAAGAGTAGAATTAGGCCATTCAGCCCATTGAGTCTGCTGTGCCATTCAATTATGGCTGATGTGTTTCTCATCCCATTCTCCTGTCTTCTCCCTGGACCCCTTGATTGCCTTACTAATCAAGAATCTATCTACCAATTGATTGTATTTCTCTGAGCTGAAATGTACTATTGTGATCAGAAAATAGAGACAAATTTCATTAACGCTGAGGCTGCATTAGTGTATGTAGGGCTGTGCAGCTTGTAAAAAATAAGTTATAAATTTGTGAGTCGCTTCACAGTTCTGGTCATGTCTTTACACCTGACATTGCCACCAGATCCTTAGCGTAACATTCACAATATTAAATATTCGGCAGACTCTGCTTACTGTTGACTAACTGTGTCCATCTTACGCGAAAAGGACCATTTTCATTCTGGTCCACTTCTCCCCAGGGCTTCCATGGTACCATCAGAGAAAGGGTGGCTCTGGAAGATATGAACTTTGCAGACAATAACTATCTTTGAATTATGTGAGCCCTGATCTTTTTCCTGACCTCAACAGGCAATCTGCTCTTAACCATGAACAGCATTTATAGCTTACCTATCCTATGGAAATGAAAATGAAAATGCAGCTGACGTCAGCTTTTAGTATCCATTTCCACCGACTAACCTTTCTCCTTCCAAGGACGAATCAGACTCTGCTTTGCTCTATAAGCATTTCAGTTAAACTTGCCAAATAAGCCCTTTCCTTGTTACTGTGCAATCTTGGACTTCCTTATCCCCAAACACTGATTATTTGATGGCAATTTGTTTTGTTTTGATACATCGTCTAGAGGTTTGTTACCTGTGTCGTAACTGTCACCACATTTGATTTTCATGGCTTCTGGTTAAGCAGAGCTGTTTTTAACATTCTAATCCTCATTTTCAAACTCAGCCCTTCATATCTCTGTGATCTCCTTTAACCGTACAACTCTCCAAGAAATCTGCAGTCTTGAACACCCCAATCTTAATTGGTCCACAGTTGGTGACCATTCTTTCAGCTACCAAAGGTTTAAGGTCCTCTAAAGCTTCTTCCCTAAATCTCTGTGCCTCTGTACTTTTTATTTCTCTCAATTTTTCCCTTAAAAATTACGTCTTTGAACAATGTTTTGGTCACGCATCTCCTTTTGTGGCTCTGTGTCAAAATGTATTGTGTAGCATTGCTGTGAAGCAGCAGTTGTCTGTCTAAGGACAGTCCTCTGCTTAATTTTCCATGCCCTACAGCCTGTGTTTTGCTGTGCAAATGCTTACTAAAAACTTCAATTTAACACTTTGACCAGGATAAAGAATGCATAAGATTGTTTCCTGTTGCCTTCTTCAAATGTGCTTAAAAGAAACAGAAGTTGTCATCCAGAAGGATGCTTCACCTGCTCAAAGTTGTTGTCCATTTAGATTCTATATCTTCCTCTAATACTGCCAAAAATTAATCGGTTCCACCATTTGCCATGGCCATGAATGCCTTAGGCTAATTCTGTTATGTTACAGGTGCAGTATAACTGCAAGTTGTTGCTGACTGTCAAATAATTTATTTCACACTTGCCATGCTGTCATTTGTAAGCATGGAAAGAAATACTTTTGAGTTGAATATTTAAATAATGTCCTGATTGTAAGGGTATTAATCAAATAATAGAACAGGAAATAGTAGCTATAATAATGAAAGAAAACCCACAGGAGGCAGCGGAGTATAAGTAACACTACATGAAAAAGAGCCTAGGGAAGTGACAGCGAAGACAGTGTTGTACACATTCAATTTAATACAAAAGATGCACTGCCAGATGGCTAGAAAAGAGCTCATTTAATTCCGGTATTTACAAATTAGAAGAATGTTTAAACGTAAGGTATAATAATGCATTGATTTCAAAAGGAGAATATTGCTTAGCCAATTGTATTGAATTTTGAGGATTTTATAATGTAAATAATAGATGGTAATGCAGTAGATATAACTTATCTGGATTTTCAAATGTCTCAAAGTGCCACATGATAGAATAATGAATCATGAAGATTAGAAAATGTGGAGTCAGGAAACAGGTGGCAAAATGGATTTCTCTCTGGCTTCAAATTAAAGGAGGGTACTGGCTGTCAAATTCTGAGTGGCGGACAATGGGAGATGGTATTCCACAAGAATCAGTATTGGGATTGCTGCTGATCAAAATTTATATTTAGAATCGATCAGTTGCAGAGAAGAGGATTGCTTCCCACATAATTTAAACACTTCCTCATATATTTATTTGAGTATGTGTTTTGTATATCTGCCCTTTTTCTGCACTGCTTTAATTATGTTTTTGAATGGAAGTGCATATTTATGGTCCTAGTTATTCATAGTCTTCTAGCTATTGGAACATTTCCTTTGTTTCTTCTTTATAGAACAAAGACCCCAAAATGTCACGGGTTGCACTGGAATCGCTGTATAGATTGCTATGGGTTTATGTAATCAGAATAAAATGTGAAAGCAACACTGTAACACAAAGGTGAGTACAGACTTTTAGGTATACTTTAGACAGATTAATCAATTGGTAAACATTACGAAATATTACAGATACTGTTTTAATAATAGTATCAGGTATTCTGTATAAGGAGGAAGATTCTTCTCACTAACAGCAAAATATTTAAAGCTGCAGTGGTCCTTTAAATATTCTCCCATTTATAAAGCATTTGCTTGTCTAAAACATTTCATTAAACTAAATACAACATCCCTTTTAAAACAGGCCAGTGATTTTGTAACGCATGCATGAAATATTTCCACAGAGCAGATTGTTTAGGCCAGATGCTTGTGGCATGTCCATGATGGACATAACCAAAATTTTTGAAATAGGTTTATGCATCCTGTTCTTCAGAATGTCGTTGCGCTTGAGAAGTCTCCTGTTCTTACATTTGTTTAACATAAATTAAAACAAAGGGTAGTATGTTTAATGTCAACTTCTTGAAAAACAGCAATTGTTGCCAGATATTTAAAAGTTAGTGTACACTAGGACAATCAATGTTTTAATATGAATATTTTGAAACAATGCAAGTTTTGAGAGTTTTGTTTTACTTGTTAATCAAATGTTTGGTTGTTACAGTCAAAAAATAATATTTTTGAAAACAACAGTACTTCTTTAAAAATGTCATACACACTGTTGTAACCCCCTTCTATCTAATTTTAGCCACACAAAAATCAGCTCCATATTTTCAAAGAAGATTGTTTGTCAATGGTTCTTTATAAAGTCATAGTCATACAGCATGGAAACAGACCCTTCAGACCAATCAATCCATGGTGAACATCATCCCAAACTAAGCTAGTCCCACGTGCCTGCTCCTGGACCATATCCCTCCAAAACTTTCCTTTTCATGCACTTATCCAAATGTCTTTTCAACATTGTAGGTGTACCCACATCCACCACTTTCTCAGAAAGTTCATTCCACGTGTGAACCACCCTATGTGTAAAAAAATTTGCCCCTCATGTCTTTTTTAAATCTCCCTCCTCTCAACTTTAAAATGTGTCCCCTAGTCCTGAAATGCCCCATCCTAGGGAAAAGACAACTACCATTAACTCTATCTATTCTATCAGGTCGCCTCTCAACCTCCTACGTTCCAGTGGAAAAAGTCGAGCCTCTCCAGCCTTTCTTTATAACTGAAACCTTCCATACCCAGCAAGATCTGATAAATTTCTTCTGAACCCTCTCCATTTTTATAATATCCTTACTGGTGAACAGAATTGGGCACAGTATTCTAGAAGAGGCCTGACCAATTTCCTGTACAACCTCAACATGACTTCCCAAATCATACACTCAAAGGACTGAGCAAAGAGGCCAGAGCGCCAAATGCATTTTTAATGGCCCTGTCTACGCAAACTTCAAAGAATTCTGTACCTGAGCCCTTAGGTCCCTCTCATCTACGACACTACCCAAGGCCCTACCATTAATTGTATAAACCCTACCCTTGTTTGTTGTACCAAAATGCAATACCTCGCATTTATCCAGATTGAACTCCATCTGCCATTTTTCAACCCAGTGACACATTTGATCTGGATCCAAGAAATCTTAGAAAACCTCTTCGCTCTGCTGTGCCACCAATTTTGGTGTCGTCTGCATACTTACTAACCATGCCTTCTATATTTTCATCCAAATCATTTATATAAATGGCAAAGAAGAGAGGAGCCAGAACCAAACGCTGTGGAACACTGCTGGTGACAGGTCTCCAAACCAAGAAGCAACATTCTACCACCACTCTGTTTCCTGCATTATGTCAATTATGAATCCAATTGGCAAGCTCATCCTGAATCCCATGTGACCTAATTTTACTAATTAGTCTCCCATGCCGAACCTTGTTGAAGATGTTACTAGAGTCCAAGTAAACAACATCTATTGTTCTGCCTAATCAATCCTCAAAAAACTCAATAAAGTTTGGGAGACAAGATTTTCCTCGCACAAAACCATGTCGACTATCCCTAATCAATTTTTTTATTTGTAAATTAATAATGTCTCAACTTGCCTTTGATTGCAATGTTCTTAGACATCATTGGACGTCTGATAACTATCTTGACTGATTGTTTGTTTTGGCATTGTTGTACATAAATTAAGCTTTGAAATAATTTAAACCAAAAAAACTGCGGATGCTGTTAATCAGGAACAAAAACAAGGTTGCTGGAAAAGCTCAGCAGGTCTAGCAGCATCTGTGGAGGAGAAAACAGAGCTAATGTTTTGGGTCTGGTGTGACCCTTCCTCAGAATTGATGGTGGCTGGGAAAACGTCAGTTTATATGCAGAAAATACGAGGTGGGTGGGGTAGGGAGTAAACGATAGGACAGAGCCCAAAGAGAGAAAAAGAGAGAAAATGGCCAATGTGCCCGCCGCCATTGGCCATGAGGCCACTATCGGAGAACCCACAGATGACGTCACATCCGCCACCGCCGGGTTCCCCACTTCCGGGACAGCAAGCACCATCGCTGCCGTTGCCACCGACACTGAAGTCGCGACCACCCTCACCGCTACTGCCGCCGCCTACCCCGCTCCTCCTACCTCCGACGCCGGTCCGCCCATCACCGACGCGGACGCAACTCCACCCACCGCCGGCACAACTCCGCCCACCACCTCCACAGCCAGCAGCTCCAGAGGAGACAGCAGCACCCAGCCCTGCCGAGTCTTCACCATCCCCCCAGACCTACCCCTTACTGAGGACGAACGGTCAGTCCTCAGTAAAGGGCTCACCTTTGTCCCCTCCACCCACAGATCAACGAATACCGCTCACGCTTGGAGATAGAGCAGTTTTTCCGCCGCCTCCGCCTCCACGCTTACTTTTTTAACCGTGAACCTAACCCTCCCTCTACAGACCCCTTCTCCCGCTTCCAACACACCCCCTCCTCCTGGACACCACCCCAAGGCCTCCTACCCTCCCTCGACCCCTTCATCTCCAACTGCCGTCGAGACATCAATCGCCTCAACCTCTCCACCCCTCTCACCCACTCCAACCTCTCCCCCGCAGAACGTGCAGCCCTCCGCTCCCTCCGCTCCAATCCCAACCTCACCATAAAACCCGCGGACAAGGGAGGTGCAGTTGTAGTATGGCGCACTGACCTCTACATCGCCGAGGCCGGACGCCAACTCTCCGACACCTCCTCCTACCGCCCCCTTGATCATGACCCCACCCCTGAGCACCAAACCATCATCTCGCAAACCATCCACAACCTCATCACCTCAG